ATTTTAGACCAATCCAAGCCATTTTTTTGATTGTTAGTTATAGCATTAGTCGAAGATTCACCAATCAAATCATCTTCTAATTTATTTATTATTATTACATCGTTATTCTTTAGATTTTTATCCAATGTAGTTGTTTGAAACATTTATTTTTGGAAAAAGCCGTTTATATAGAATATTTAATCGAAAATAGAAGGAGCCAATGAGGTTGTGAGCGTATTGGTACCATGAGTAGTAATTTTATTGCTTTATTCACTATTTGTACGAAAAATTAGCGGAGCCTTTTAAAACGTCCATGGTGCAAATATTTAACCGGAGAATGTATTTGTTAATTATATACAATGAAAATTTCAATTAGTAACAATATTATGACCATGCGAGATTAAACTGCAAAAAGCCAATCTAATGATATCCAAAGTAGAGAGAGGAAAAGATTTGAGCAAGAGAAAATACAATTATTTTTCCCCCGATTTTATAAACTGCAAGCCATTTACACGCCTATGAAAGTACCTCATCCTTGTTTTAATCTGTTTCGCATTTAAATCGTGTTATTTTTTTACGAAACCTCAATAATCTTTCATTATAAGAACTGGCTAATTCATTTTTCTTAATTGGATAATAATTTTTACAATAAATATCTAGGCAACTAATATGATAGGAGTGGCCGCATATTAATATTTCATTCAGATCAATTAAATAATTTAAAATTGGATATTTTTCAAACAAATTTGTATAAATTATTAAATATTTTTGTAAACATGTTTATTCAAGCTCACATGTTAACGTTGGCGATATTTTTATTTTAATATTATTGTCATTAACAATTAATTTTATTGCCCAAGGAGATCCATTGGAGCTAATATTATATTTGGTTTTGAATTTTACCTTTTAAATGATTATCACTGTTTTCAATCAAATTTGTGTTTTTGAACCTTTTATGATGTATGCTTTGCCAAAGAATTGGATGAATTTAGGTAACTTCCATTTGCTTTCCAAGCTCTGAAATAATCCTATTAGGATCCCAATACTCCAATTTGACGTATACTAAAATTATTAGTATTTATTGCTAAGACATTTTCTGTATTTATTATAGTTGCCATATGATTTATTATTGAATCAGTGGATGTGGATGTTTCCTTTATTGAATGGGCAATCATGATAATCATCAAAGTTTACATTTTTCTAAATGTTCATGTGGCCAGACTCACTGCAATCTGATTTAACAGCAATCGTGGCAAGTTCATGTTTATGACTATTTGCATGTTAGTTCTAAGACCAGTTGGATTATTTTTAAATCTTCTAAAGTTTGAGTCTTAGAAGCCAGGGTCAAGTGATCAACAGAACATATTAAATAAATCAACCAGTGATTTATCATCTTTATGGTTAAATTAATAATGACTGAAATAGCATTTTATTTGTGTGCATTTATAAAAATCAAAATTCTTCTTAACATTTAATGAGAAAATTGATTTTAAATAAAAGAATTTTTATCTGTTGGAAAAATAAAAAATTTAAAGAAATGGCTGCAAAATAAAATAGTAATAAATAATTGTTATTATTATTTATTATTATTAGAAATTAAATCATTAAAAAAATAAATAAATTTTTTTAAAAATCAAAAACTTACATTTTCCATTTGATAATTTTGTAATAGTAAATTAAATCCATCATCCGAATTGCAATTTTTCGCTAATGTTAAAATACTTTTAGTATCTGGAGAAGCATCATCTATATTATCTTCAGTGAAGGTTCTAATTGATCTATTGGCATTTTGATGTTGACCTTCAGAATGAAAATAATTTTCTAGTATATTTGCATTTGTAGGTGTTTCTTCTTGGTTCCTTGAAATTTTTTCAGGTGTGAATTCTCGACTCCTCAATTTTTTTCTAGTATTTAAAGCTCTCGTACTAATGCTATTATTACTCGCATTTACATCAAGGTCACTGTGATTGTCGTTATAATTATAATTATTATCAGATTCACGGTGATTATTATATTGATAAAAGTGAGATTGATTGTTGTTCACTGGTTTATGTGGAAAATAATGAGTAATCGGTGTGATGTTAAATTTTTTGAGTGGACTAGAGTCCGAACTTGAATCTGAAGAAGACGAATAATATTCTGGTGATTTAGGTGATGTATTGCTTCCTTTGGGAAATAGTATTCTTTTTTTATTCTACGTGTTTATAATATATTTTTATTTAGGTCAATTTAGATCGTTCAAATCAATAAATTATAATAAAATCCCACTTACAATACGTGATGGTTTTAAAATTTTATGTATTTTGCTGATTTTTGTACTCTTTCTTTTTCTTGAATTGACAACTAAATTATATCCGTTTCCTGATAAATAAATATGTTCAGATGTTAGAAATATTTTTATTATTATTTCTAATTCCCTCAGAAGTGTTATTAAAATACCTTTTCTTACCAACACCAACTTTTGAATTACTGGACCACGCATCTTCTAACAGTTGTTGTGATTTTTCTGGTGACAATTTACCAGTAGCAATACTTGTTTTAACAATATTGCTTGAATCTATTTGTTTTAACAACAATTTATCTAAATCAAACTTTTAAAGCACCAAATCTAAATCTCGTTTATAAATTATTTTAAAACTATTTAATATACCTTGTGAACGGGCTTTTTTCAAAAGTTCATCAATCTTTTTCTGATAATTATGTACCATTTCGTTCTCTTTTATGAAAATTCAAAATTTCCTTTGACAAATCAATTTCAATCTTCTTAGAATGGTCGGTTAATCCAACCTGAAATTCTCTATTTCGCATGATTTAAAAAAAAAAAAGATGTATATACCTATCTATCACATGATGACGATCACAAAATTAATGTTTGTTTTTGAATCACATGATCCTAAAGAAAATGGAGTTCAAGCTTATCACAAAATATTTATACATGAAATAAGGTGCGAGAAAGTAATTGAAATGGAAAAAAAACAATTTAAATATTAAAAAAATTGAAAATGGAAAAAATCCATAAAGCCGAGCCTGCAGGACTTTTCTCATCTGTCATGATAATATGGTGTCAGCGGAAAGGTGTGTGTTTACGCTTAATATTAATTTTAACTCTGCGTGCGATTTTATCGGGTGAGAAATTTTATTAATAAGAACGTAACAACCATCTGGTATATACATACCATTTTCTGTAAAAATTTTCATTTTTATTGTAAAATTTTAGTTAATTAATTAATAAAGTATAGCCACTTTTAATTACATGTATTTTTGTGATTTTTTGAAGAATCTATTAAAATCCAATTTACATCTTCATCGATGCAACTAACATCGAATGTGCTTTATACCAAGCATACTGAAATCTAATAAATCCATGTACACACTAAAATGGAGCAGAACTCAACAATCAATCAATATTTTTGAAAAAATCTCTCCGTCACAAGTATTCATTTTTTGAAAAGTTCGATCTTCTGATCTTTGAAAATCACGTGACAGAAATAGTGGTTATAAGCTCCATGCGACACAGATCCTTTCTCATCCAAGGGTATTTGTTCAATTGGACAAATTTCCAACACCAATCCAAATCGATAGTAATAGTCGAGTTTTTTGGGTCAAATTTTACTTGATATTAATTAGGTAAAATCCACATTTACTAATGAAAATCTACAAATACTCTCCTTAATATTAAAACCAAATTGAACAAACTCATTAAAATCAAAGATGCCTCCAAAAAATCGTGGTCCATGTGTTATACCTGGCTGTACTAACACTGATAATGAGTTCAGAAGGTTAACTGATTATACTGTTGATAAAATTAGACTTAAAGATGTAAATAATGAATATGGATTTTTAAAAAAAGATGATCAATTATGCTATAAGATACATTATTTAAACATAGTTGAACCAGACAGATATAAGAAGTATAAGAAAAATGTCAATAATAAAAAATTGATTGAAGATGATTTGATTGGTGAATCTTCGACTAATGCTATAACTAACAATCAAAAAAATGGCTTGGATTGGTCTAAAATCAAAATAAATACTGTTGAGGATAATGTTATTATATCCAAAGATGATTTTAAAAGTATAATGGATTATATTAATAATAAGCATCAGAACATTTAAATTTATAATTTTAATAGCATTGGAAAAATAAATTATTAAAAGCAAATGATAATTTACATACTTCTATATCTGTTTTTTTTTAAAGGGAAAAAAAGTAATATTGTACAAAGGTACATAAACACGATTTTACATATAACCCAATTCACAAGTAGAATTTCAACAAAATATTGAATTATTTTTTTTATTTTTATTTTTTTTGATATTCTGGTATTTTATTATGATATCAATGTATTCATCTGGTATAGATGTAGGTCGTGGATCTTCCTTGCCGTTTGATTGAGAGTATATTTTATATTCAAAATTTTGTATCAGCGTAAAATATATGTTTTTATAATAAAGCATGTTGTGCATATATTATGGTTCTAATTTTATAATAATCTTCTGATAATGAACCTTCAAGAATTAATTGACCCTTTGAAGTCTATATAATCAATTCAACATAAAAAAAATTGAGCACTTAATAAAGGGATTTTTTTTAAAAAAAAAAGAAACCATTATCTATTTACATAGATAATTATTAATTCTGACCTTTTTAATGGCAACTTTTTCATTACAAACTAACACACCTTCACCTTTAAATTCTGCTGTGATACCTTCAGATTGTAATAAACGTTTTAATTCTGATAATTTCACCTCACCTACAAATATGGGATTATTATTACTAGTGTTTTCTTCTATTGGTATAGCATCTAATATAGGGAGGGAATAGTCTTGTGGAAATGAAATTTTTCCTGTTATGAATGCTATATCATAATCCTCAAGCTAATGAATAATATAAATAATATTAATATTTTATTAAAAGTTTACCGGGAAAAATTTTATAACTAATTATATATGGATTTATTTTACCTTTGAAAAATTCAATGAACTGATTAATGAATCAGTCAATTTGACTTGATAAAAATTTATTGCAGCCGAAACATTCAAAGTTTCTCCAACATCTGGAGTATAAATGTCTTTGGTCATTGATTCCAGAGCTAAACAGCTTTGAGCAAAATCTTTCGTGGCTTCTTGTGATGCATGTACAACAATCTATAAATGTATGTATGTATACATATAAATTTATTATACTAGTAATCATAACTATTTATGTAAAATAGAACAAGGAATTAAACAAAATATATTTGTTACCAATTTTCTAGGTTGTACTTGTGGTACTATGGTTTTCAATGACCTTCCATCATTAGTTCCCTCCAAATCTATAAATCGTATTTGACATTTGAAAGTAACATCCTCATCATACAATACATATTTGGTTGGAACATTGGAATCCAAAGAAGAATTATTATTGTCCTTATCAAACTTGCACGACAATAGATAATTATATAATATTAATTAAAGTTTAAAATTGCTTTTGTGAGACTAAAAAAAAATATATATATATATATAACATATATTACTACCTCCTCTTTATCCCCACCACCCATATCATCTCTATCACCAATTGGCTCAATACCAATTCCCTCGGTACCAATTGATCCACCAACTCTTTTAAACATATCAGATGGAATAATCTCACCATAGTCATCATATCTTTTCCTTTTTTCAACAAATGGATACATCAAATAACTTTGTGTTTGTTTAAAAAAACCTCCATATTTTGTTGCATCGCGCACATAAAGGTCAAATTGTTTTGCTAATAATTCCTCCATGTCAGTATCTCCTGCTTCCGACTCTTCATCATCTGTCTCATCTTCTTCAATTATTGACAAAGATTTGGCTATAAGCGCTGCCTGTGCTGCCTCTCTTTCCTGCTTCTTGCGTTGTTCTTCTATTAAGATGTAAGTTAATCTCACTGAATGTATCATAAAGAAAGGAATCAAAACTGGTTGAGCCCAGATTAGGATTTGTGTCTAAATATAATAGTCAACAATAAAAAAGATTATATATAATCATTAAATACATTACTAGTTTATTCATTTCTATATCTTAATTAGTAAATAAATTCGTTCAATAATATATAGGTCCAACAAAGTAATAGTCCAAGAAAATTATAATTCAATCAACTCGTTCTCCCTTTCCTTGCTCTAACCGTCTACCTACTATTATTACATGCTATTAAACAATATTATTATTATGTAATAAAAATTTATTATTACATACCATAGCCCAGCCGAAACCATGTTTTTTCTGCCACATAATTTTAGCAAATCCCAAAACAATGTAATATAGAAATAATGCAAAGGACAATGCTAAACCAGTTGCTGGGCCACCAAGATCAAAGGATAAAGGTAAAAGTAATAAAAATAGTAAATGATTTGCATTGTTAAACATAGACAAGAAACTCATTTCTTTAATATTATATTTTAAAAAGAAACGAAGCAAAATATTTTACATAATAATAATAAATAACACGTATTGTTCCAAAAAACTACGATTTCATTGGCTGAACTTTGTGTAGATCAGTATTAGATTGTTTAAGAATAAAAATTTCATCGAATCAATTAATGCTCTATAACATCTACTTCTTCCATATCAATGTCAACTGCAGATGACATTTCACTTCCAACATCCTCTGAAATAATAGATCCAATTTCAGACCACGCATCTTCTGATGGATTGGGTGATAAAAAACGAGAATTGTCTGGAAGATCAAGAATTTGTCTTTGTAATAAATGTTGTTGATTTTGTTGCTGTTGCCGAATGATTTCGTCGTTTATGGTAGAAGAATTTGATCTTATATTATTATTATTATTATTATTATTAACACCGTCATCATCATCATCATCACTATTATACGCACTATCAACAGATGATTGCAGGTGATGACTACTAATACTTGATAAACCTTGCGAGAGAATTGATTGTACAGCTGTGTCAGGATAAAGGCTACTTTCATTATATAAAGAATGTTGTTCAACATCTTTTAATGGAATTTCATCATTGCTGTCATTGTCTAAAATAGTGTTAGTAGCAGAAGTGTTCTTTGTGTTTTTAGATAAATCAGAATCAGAGCTGGATTTTGAACTGATGGATTTTAAGCGTTGCTTCCTATTTTCAAGTTCTTGTTCTCTCTCTTTCAAAATTCGCTCCTCATTTTCTATTTCTTTACTTTTACGATCCCATTCATGATATAACTTTCTTGCCAAAGAATTTGGTGGTCCACGATCAGTCAGAATAATATCATTATAATTTTTATTGAAAGATATAAAAAATATCTCATAAAATATAGACATCTAGATGGAACTGTTTTGCATAGCAATGGTGTTGTTTTAGACGCATTAAGTCGTCCTTCTTTAATGATAACCGATGCTTACAATTCACTTATAATCCATCCACCAAGGAAATCGCGTGATACTGCATTATTTGGTACTGAGGATTTTCTTTTTTTTTTTAACAAAACCAATTAATATTATTAAAACTTTTTTATTAATACAATAAATAAATAATAATTTATATTTAAGAAACAATAATGAGCACATTACAAAATAAAGGATCAGTATTATTACCAACTGATTCATCAGCACGCGTATTGGAGTTGGCTTATCTTTTAGATCAACATTGGGCTTTTCATCAGTTGTCATATCCACTTATCTTGTTAACTCATCAAAGTTACCGTACAATCCAGTACACTAAAAGTATGCTAGAATGGATGGGTGATGCTATCAAAAGACATTTTGACACAAAAAGAGAAACCCCTTTGGAATTGGGGTATTAACTTGGCTTATTTATATAAAAAAATTACATAATGGAAATTATAAAAAAGCTTCTTTTTTTTTTTTAAAAACAATTCATGTAGGTATCTAAAATTATGTCATAGATATAAAGATCTTGCAAAATATCCGGGACCAAAAGTGGTACTTGCAAGTAATGTTAGTTTAGAAACAGGGTTTTCCCGTGAATTTTTATTCGAAATATCAAAATCAGATATAAATGCTCTTATTCTGACTGATC